TTCGTTGAAACTAGTACGTCAGGCTCGGAGGACGATGAAAGGATGTTACGAACGATTGGAAACACGGCTTGTATCATGGAAAAGTGGTACTGGGACCTAGATACAGTTCCCGTGATCCAAATACGATCGTGTATCCGGGTATTCGAGATTAATATCTGTCCTCGAATTTCATATAACTGGCCCCGGGGTTGGGAAGAATTTTATTCGAATAATACAGAGTGAAAAGCAGCAGTATCTAAGGGTGGCGTCCTGAGCGTTAAACAGTTAATGAGATTAGATGATTGTTCGACAAATGCCGATTCATTCGTAAAGAAGTATTATTTTACTATAAAAATTGGAATTTTCAGGTTTAAACAATTAAAACTGACGAAATATTTTTTTTTATCTTAAATTCGTTATCTAACACACCCCATCAGGCACCTGTACGTATTTTATACCACGTACGTGGGTTGCACAAAATAAAGTTACACATTTTGCAATATTTACACGTTTATTTAACAGTAAAACTAAGAATAGAAGAATATAAACATAATTCTTAAAAATACATGAAATTTGAGATTGATTAAAATCAAGAGTATATTATGTGCAGATACCTATAATTAAAAATATTTTTCCCATTCTCGAGCGCTAGTTCCATTAATTGCATCCGACCCTTTGATGTTGCAGCATTATTAGTTAAGTAGAATGTAAAAATTAAACAGCTTAATTCTAATAAAACTTTACTTAATACTTTAACGTAATGAGGACAGTATTGTATTTTTTCTACTTAGTTGCGTTGCGTATTGCAATTCGGCTCAAGTATTTATTTTTTATAACATAAGATTTTACCAACTGATGAATGTTTTTTTTACGTATCTTAATTTCTGGACGGGGGGTCAGGCCCACCCTGGTCTCTACCTAGTTACCTCAATGCTTGCTTGGTAGTTCCATTGTTAAGAACATTTAGCTAACGTGTCCGATAGATCCATAGGGTCCCTAGTGTGTCTATGAATAATATTGTATGCTCGAGTTGTTTGGCCAAGCGTCTGTTTAGCGACTGGAACAAGAAGTGTTGCACCGTTACCAGTTCCTGTTTGTTTTTTTTTTGTTTTGTTTTTTTTTAACTCCTTGGAAATTTTCGTTTTACGAGGATTTAAAGAAGTAACCCACTTCCTCGCGCGACTGTTGGTCGATCCCCCCGGATCCACGTCGGACAACGGTTACCGGTTTCGTTTTAATTTAACTTTTTGTTTTTCGTCCAGCACCGCGGGGTATCCCTTCTCCCTTTCGCGCGGGCACAGGTAAGAGAACTGAAATCGTGTTCTTGCCTCACCTTGGTCGATCGCCTTTCTTATTCTCTCGTCCGGCTGTCCCGAAAGAGATCGAGGCGGCCATTGGTCATTTGCCGGTACGATGGAATTACTGGTTGATAATTGACGTACCGGTTCGTTAAACAGTTATTCAATGCGCGTGAACGACTAAAGTTCGTTTTTCTTTTCCTTTTTTTTTTTATATTCGTGGACTATGCATACGTCCTTTCGTAAGACTTCGAGTTTTGTTTCGTAGCTATAACATGCCCGATGAATTTCTGGTCCTTGAGTTTTTTTATAATTTATTGATGATTTAAAATATTTTTGTACATGACATTCGAGCTTATATTTTTAGTCGCGCATTGACGAAATATTGCTGAGAATTTAACAACGAATTAGGTGAGATATATCCTGTTTTGGTATGTACACCCACGAGCAAACTCGGCTTCCACTAGGGGAAAAAGTGACGCAGGATAAGGGCCTCCTAACACTTCGTAAATTTATTTCAAGTAATGAAATAAATGTTAAAATGCATGGTTATTTGGCACAAATTTCAGAATCTTCCGAATTCAAATGGTAGAAGGCCTTTTCTCGTGGGTGTACATGTAATATCGGAAAATGTATTGTTCAGCAAGTGTTTGTAATTAATCTTCGGTGTAGAATCGAAAGATCGGTATCATCAGGACTGATGCTAGTGATTGATGGTATATGTAGATGGTATTTGGTCAATTGTGGATTCCTTTTTTTGAAAAAACTTACCACGGAAAATTTGAACGATATATAAATGATTATTATCGTATTACTATTATAGTCATAATTATCCTACCTGGATAATTATGTTATCATTAATTAGTACCTCTTAATATTATCTCAGTACGGAATTTAGCGATAATTATACAATATAGTTGCAATTATATAATTCTACAGTGTATAACATAGTCTCCGATATAATTCGAACACGTCATTTTTGTTTTCTGTTCACGGTAGACTTATACAATAGTATGTTGAAGACTAGGAAATTTACATTTACGAACTGTTTGTTCAAAAATATCACAAGTTTGCTGATAACCGATATATCTCACGTGAACCGACATGTGTTTGCCACATTGTACGCAGAAACAAGTGAATGAATGACAATTGGTTATAACCTATTCGTTCACTGTGTTACATCTGCAATTCATCATTATTTAAACAGACACTAATGGATTCTTCAAATGACTCATACTTTTCGTACGTTTGCAAGTTAGTCGCTCCAGGTCTCGTGAAAATTCTTCCACGAGTGAATAGTGAAAATAACTCTTACGAGTGTTGCGTACTTTTTTAATAATTTGCAAATAAAATGTATTATTTTCTTTTACCCTGTTACCTCATCACATAGATACACAGAAACGTAACACAAGTCAGGCGAATTCCTTGGAACCACCAGTTCGGCGCGACTACCTGTTTGCTGGATTGTCTCTCCCTGTTAACGTCAGCTGATAGAAACCTATAATTTCATGCAGCATTACGCAATGATCTTCCTTTGATCACCAATTTCGTTCCTTTTACTTTCGGTAGAGATTCTTCGGTACACACGATAGACTGAATTTTTGTCCACGAAAGTAGAAACTGTTATCTCCCATATTTCCGATGAACCCTTTTGGCAAACGTGGGCTATTAATAAAAAAACAAAAAAGTGTATAGTTACTTCTTACCACTCAGTGAAGTATCTGTGTTTTTTAATTCAAATTCCATGTGAAGTAGAAAAATAAATTGCAAAAGATTAATATTGAATCTAAAGAAATGTAAAGGAATTTCATTGGCACAGCCATTGATACATCTGACGTTGCGAAATTAAATTCGATCATTTTCACGCGTAGAAAATCACCGAGGCAGGATTTCTTGACACCACTCGACCGCTCAAGACTTTCTTGAAAAGTTTCAAAGCAGCGTATTTAGACCATATTCTATGCCGTCTATGCTAACGATAGTACCGAATTTGCGTCAGCTTAGTACACTGGATGAATAATCATATTCAGTCAGAGAGATTTAGCGACGTTTCGTTAAGAATTCGGATTGTAGCGTTTGTACACCCATGAGCGAACAGCCATCGAGTTCATCAAACGATTTGGGCTCGGGGAGTGGGGAGTTTCTATGAACGAAGGCACTTACTACGTACCTGGGACACATCGAGCATAACTATTGGAAACACCGGTACCCTTTCCATCCTCCTGCGTCAGAACTTCCAGTTAATAGATAACTCTTGAACGTCGAATCAGACTGTGTACTTCATGTATTTGCAGCAGGTTCACATAATACATAATATCAATATTATGTTATATCTAACGTTTTAAATTCAATTAATAAAAAGAATACGTTTTTGTTTAATTATTACTAATAAGATAATTTGGAAACATCGAAATTTACGTAAACATTTCTACAGTCTATTTATAATTAATTCGTCATAGTGAATATACAAATTAACACTAGAACTACCGACGATAAACGCATATTTGCTTCGATCGGTGGATAAACCTGAAAAACTTTTGAAAATTTAGACATTCAGAAATCGACTAATTTCTTCACTTTAATATTGTAATAAAAGGTGCAAAAGATCTGCGAAAATGTATTGTCGTAACATTTTAATCGTCGTTGTAAGAGTTGTATTGACAAGCCATTTTCGACTTGCTTGGTAGTTCTAGTGTTAAGGAAGTTTGTGGATCTAATAAACTGGAGGATGAGATATTCTCACTAGAAATGCTCATTGCTCTAGGATACCCTGACCATGCTTCACTAAACTCCGTTAAAAACAAACATAACCTTGGAACATGTTGGGTATAGTCGAGGGAACCGACATACGGAGCAGGACCTTTTCATTGATGCTTTGGGGCGCAGAGATATACGCATTTATTTCAACTTTTATTATCCAAGAAATTATTTATTTATATACATGACACTTATACTACAATAGAATAGCCAAAAAGTACGAAACAGAGTTTAAATAGCTCGTACGATTCTAAGTGAAGGGCCCGAGTCTTCATAATCTATTTATGTCAATTCTTTTGTCGCATTGCGCGAAACGTGGGTAGTTCAACTTCTGAATCAATTTTACGATCATATAACGAAACAACTTATTTACCAATTAAATACACATACATTTTTCAGAATAATAGTTCCCAGAAGATTTCCTTAACACTTCCTTAGAGACAAATTCTTATATTTCAAAGTAGATATTAGTAAACATTCGAGAAAGACCGTTTTCCACATTGATCCGTTACACTCCAAACTTCTACATTAACACCCAAATGTTACTCCTCCAACGAAGGTTCGCAAACGATAATGTAAATATTATTCATTACTACAATTCAAATTATGATAAATAAAATTTGCGTGCATCTGCGTCACCGTAACAACAATAGGGTAAACAACTACAAATAATCAACATAAAATATCTAACGTTAATATTTATATAAAACTCGTTTTTACAGGTCACGTCATTGAATTGTTAACTTTTCTAAAATAGAAGGAATTCTAGTAAGGTATCTCGAGCAGCATATCGTCGGAAAAGGGACACCAATATTTTCTTTCGACGGACCGTTTCGAACGTTATCACCGGTTATCGCCGTGTGAGCGCCGCTTAACGTAATCGCGTCTGCGCAATCGCGCGCGAGTGGTTCCAGTCGAACTGGTCTCCCGAGTTACCGCGTGCTGAAAGCCGCGGCTGTTCCGCAAACCGCAGTACCGCGTCAGTCACGTTAAAGAGCGAAGGGACCTCGTTTTCGGGCTTGTGGAAAATTATTTCGCGCCGAATACCTTCGAACTTCTCAGTTTTCTGGAGTTTCTTATTTCTTTCCGAGCCCTTGTGGGTAGTGTTTCGAACGCGAGAATTCAGAACTCTGGCACAACGGTCACAGATGGAAATAAGCATGGGCACAACGTCGGTGAGTACGATCGTAAATCTAACGTTTGCCGGGGTTCGACCTTAGTCTTCGTCAGAGGTCTGTTTGCCTCGTGTCTCATGGTGTCCCCTGGAATTTCTCTCTCTCTCTTTGCCCCCTCCCCCCCCCCTGGTGTCGTAACCGTTTCGAGAGCGACGAAAGTTGTTCGGTCGAAGATGTTGCCCTTCAGTTTTTCCTTCTGACTGGAACATTGCTTGTTGTTTGATGAATGTAAAATTGCGCGCTTATCGAGGGAGGTAGCGGTAGTTGATTTTAGAAGGAAAGAGAACTGAGGGTATTGTTGAATACGTGCGGCTTGTTTCTGTAGATCGCTTGGAGGTAATGAGATACATAATGTCTTATTGCAGGAATATTTTTCGATTCTGCTCAACTTCGCACTGTTTTTCAGAGATTTTCAGAGAAATCGGAACGACTTCTTTTGAACTTGCTGCATCACCGATGGAAAACTTCGGCGTGCAATGTGCGCGGGCGAATGTACTCTACAGGGCACTTCAAAGTGATGTAACTCGACCGGAAAAGTGGATTCTCACTGAAATGTAATTATAGAACATACGGGGTGCTTGAGCAAAATTTATTCTGAAAGCATTCTGTCTCTCAATTGAATGTGATTTCGGTTGATTTCACTATAAATATCGTATATAGAAGTATAACGAGTACCCAATTCTTCAATTTAAATTTGTTGTTACATACTTTGAACACCCTGTAGAGTTCACATTTCTGTCAGTTAGGTTCTTACAGAACGTGTTTCAAATTTGTGGCAGATACTTTGAAACCCCCTGTACAGCATAAACGTGGAACATTGATTTTGAAGCAACTTGTATTTACAAGGTGTATTATATAATTAGAATTAGTGTGTACATCTTGCAATTACGTGGTTTGTAGTATGTATTTATTTTGGAGCATTCAAATAGTCCCAAATCATACCATGTATCTTGAAACACTATGAATTTACTATACTTCTCTTGAAAGAGCTTGTATATTGCAAGTTTGTATTATATATTGTAGAGCACCTTGTACCATTCTCACAGATAATACATTTTTTATTAATTTGTATGTACTTTTGGTGCATATTTTTGGTGCATACATTGTTAAAAAAAAAAAACATATAATTGTATATATCTGGTGAAATAGTGACTTGTAAAATATGGTATTAAAGCTGTCGAAAAATGATGTTCTGAAGAAAAAAAAATACAAATGAACATCTGTACGTATTTGTTGTCGAGCCTCGCGACATCACAAAACTTGACCTTCAACGCTCGAATGCACTAATTACAGTTCCAGAAGTAACAGAAGCTTCTGTAACGGCGGGAAACATATTTGGCGGTTTTGTGTCTAACAGAACTATTATGTCGATTACAATTCCTCTTAAGTGTAACAGTAAGAAAGTCACTACACTCGTTCCATCGGCAATGAGTGTTTTTTGTTTACAATTGGAAGCCATTTAATCGAGAATGTTTACCAACGAACTGTCTGCGAAATAGGATCATAAAGTATATGGCGTTCGAAATGGTTTCAGTCTATTAATTATGTACATAGTATTTACATTTCTTATAGATTGTTCAGTTCATGGAACTGTAGTGTAGAGGGTCTCCAATTCTTTTTCTTAATTAAGATATTCGAGCAAGTACACTTCGCGGCCGGAAGTTACGCTTGCGAAACGGTAATTAGCGAAGGAAACTGAATAAAGGTGGACTCACATTGTAACGAAACTCTGAGCATTTCATTTTGAAGCAGTAGTTAAAAACGTCGTACGTTGTGGATGGGTTTAATTGGTGATTAATGAAAATAATTAAAGTTCCGAATGACAATTAAGAGGATAATAATTTGAATGTAAAGAAAATTGAGGCGAGGCACGCTTAAGTATGAATGATATAAAAGTTGCTCGGATGGGCGAAAGGCCGTTGTGTGAATGTACCTTAATACAAAAAAGTCTAAGAATTAAATTTCATTGAATTTGCATAATCGGTGCATGAACGTGGTTTTACAGTTATTTCCAATCGTTTCCTTCTTCTCGGTATCCGCGCAATTCGAATGGAACGTACGGCGTCGAATGTATATGGTTTGTAATATTAATTTATCAGCGACGTATTTGAAAATATAACATTCGGTAGATTTTTATAAATGACCAATTTATATTCCGCGAAGTTGTTAGTGTTAAGTATTTTGATACGAATCGTTTCTTAGCGAAACTATTATTGTTTATTTCAGACTAAAAAGTTTCTCATTAACAACAACTACGGTGGACGAGAAACATGTCAGCTACTCACGTCCAAGTTGTGAAGTGGAGTTTTCCTGCCTTTGCGCTTCTGATTGGCCTCCTCTGGTACAAACGGCGTCGAGTGGACCGAGCTGATCCAGGTGGAATATCTGTTGCGGATCGGAGCGACCGAACTGTCCTGAATTACAAAACGGAAGCTGTTGTTTCGTCGAAACCGAATGATTCGGGCATACACATCGACGAGTCGTTCTCGTTGAGCTCGTTTAATAAACCAACGGAAGAGATCATTTGCAGTCCTAGAAAGCGAAGCGAAAGTTTAGATATACCGCGGAGGAGGTCCGGCGCGCAGTCGATCTCGACGCGTTCGAGAACACCCCCAGAGGACGAGCAAGAATGGTACAGTTACGTGGGAACAGCTACATCGAGTAAAATGGACATACCGCTTGGTAGTAATCCGAAGATAAGTAATTTCGACATGGTCGTCAAAAGCAGAAGCGGATCTTCTTTGGAAAATGCTATTGACACCAGTGGTAAAGTAGTAAAAATATTCGAGCATGTCGCCGAAGAGGAGGAGCAAAAAGCTTCGTGTGAGAAACAACCGTTAGAACTTGTCGATAAAGATGAAGAGAATCACACGAACAATACGTGCAGTTATCTTTCGAACGAGGAACCACCCGTTAACACGCCCTCCAAAGACAGTGCGAAAAGTCAGGCACAAGTATTGTCCGAAAGAGATTCCGCGAATCACAGTCCAATATCTGGAGTCTTGGACGGCAGTGTCACGGATGAAGCCAGAAGCGAGGGAAGCACAGATAGTGGAAAAGGTAAAGTTGTTAATGGTCAATGAAAATCTAGTCGGGATATTGTTGTTCCAGATATATAATTCAGGATTTATTTCAGGAGGGAGTATCAAGGGTCATGCAAAAGATAACGCAATTCCAAATGCGTACGAATTTAGTATACCGCATCATTTAGTAGGACGATTAATCGGTCGATATGGTACTTTCTTGCAAAATATCCGTGTTAAGGCTGAAGTGCACATAGTTGTGAAACGTCATCCCCGATCGAGGGAACAGAAAGTTTGTGCCATACAAGGTTCCCCAGAAGGGATTACCATTGCTCTGGAACTGATACGACAAAGGTTCCCAGACAAAAAATATCCTCAGCTGACACTCGCGCAAATTCCGCCGTCGAATCCAGCAGAAGAGATGCCATGGGTTACGGAATTAATGCAGTTGTCCTTAGTAGAAGGAGTAAATAATGATGTTGTTGTATGTCATATAGTAAAACCAAATCGATTCTTCGTACAGCTTCCTACTCACCCTACATACCCGTCCTTGCGGATTTTAGATGATTGCATGACACAACTATATAACACGACAGAATCACCTCCAGTTCCAGACGAACTTAGTAGTACGTTTTCATTATTGCACTATTACATCTATTAACAATTTCTTAACTAAACAGATTCAAATGATGCTTCTCTATAAATAAATTATTAATCTTATTCGGCTCGTGTAAACAGTAATCTTACATTTTCGAATTTACAGAGGGTATGATCTTAGTTGCAAAATGGTACAACAGGTGGGTCAGGGTATATGTCGAACAAGCAGATCCTAATGGCGAACGACATTTAGTGCGACTCGTGGATCATGGAGGCTATTGGTATTTCAGTAATGCAGACATGAAGAAAATTAGGTCAGATTATCTCACATTGCCATTCCAAGCAATTGAAATATTCCTAGCAAATGTACAGCCGAAAAATGGTAAGTGTTCTGTTAGTTGCTACATTATCGTGCTCTTTTTTGTAAACACCCATGGTGTTTTATACGATAATGTTCTTTACATTAGATGAATGGAATCAGGAGGCTTTTAACGTAGTTGCTCACATGTGCTGTGGTATTGTTGGTCAAGCTCAAATTGAAGGCTACATTAACACAAATACATATGTTAATTTATATCTTAATATTCATAAACACGGGGTGAGTACCTTTAAGTCAATATTTCTTTATAATTTTTCAGCGTTTCCTAGGGAATTATGAACCAACGTGACCGTGTTAAATGACATTTCCATTATATTTACGGTTTCTTTTTCACAGGTTATATCTTTAGCTGATGAATTAATAGCGCGCGATTTTGCGGAACCCATACCGCTAGAAAGCATACTTCCGGAAGAAGGTATATCGATTTAATAAGGTACGAAATAAGAGTTAGTCTTTATCAATTGAGTTGTATAAAAATGTGAATCGTGCGGTGATAATACGTGATCGTGTAATTTTTTTAGTCACTATACGCGTGTATTCGAAGTAATCTTTCACACTTAGGAGTTTCATATCAATTATCAAAACAGTAATTGTTTCACTCTATTTCATACAGATATATTTATTGTGCATGGATCGACTTAACACGACAACCGGTATATTTTTGTTTCTTGGTTGTTAAATAGATTCAGTATCATTGGACCCGTAAGAGTGAACAAAAGTACTATTTAACTAGCATTTATAAATACTCCTCTTCGTGTATGATTTATGACAAGTACAAATGAGAATTGTGTTTAGAGTGCGGCATTTTTACTACGTGCATTGTGAAATGAAACATTTTTTAACGTTATATTCTCACGATAGCAAGCGAAATGAGATTTACGCCAGATATTACGAGACTATTTATATGGTGCTCAAGCGAGCAAAGAAAATTTTCATACTTATGCTATCAAGATGTACGGATGAAATCTGTTGAACGCCACATTCTAGGCAATGAAGTAGGATAACAAAAAAAAATTAATAGAGATGTAAAGAGGACCTGTGTACATTCGATATGATATTCAATCGATTTATAACGTAGGAACAGCTTTTTTACGGTATGATGGTGTACTATACATTTTTCGTAAGGTGTAGTAAAATTGATAATGGTCCAAAAAGGTTTTTCTTGAATTACCAACAACAATTGCTAATCGGGGATACTTTTATTTTCGAAACTACCGTTTTTGTGTTGTATTGAACATACGTGGGACAAGTCCTGCAGATAACACTGAGGCGGCTTCGATAAGTAGAGACCGAAACAATCATAGGTTCGAACTGAAAACGATGATGATGATAATAAAAATGAAATGCAAACTCTTGAGACTGTTACTGGGAAAACGCGACCGATCGTTGCGTTTTGCACACTTAGGTTCCCCGTAGGCAGATTTTGATCATACTTTTGTATATAGTGTAACATTACGTCATTGTTTATAAAATATTTATAATTATACCGTAATGATAATAATAATAAAAATGAAAACGGATAGACGCTAGCTAGCTCTACACGGTGATAAGTATGACAAAATTAAAGATACAGTAGATTTGTATATTTTACATTTCTCAAACACTGATAAAAAAAAGCTAATTACATTATTAACAATACCGGACGAATCGGGAAATTCGCTTCTACGTGACCGTAATTCCTATTGCAGTCAAGTTTGATCATTGGAAACACGAAACTGTTAGTCGCATAAGCTACGTAAGAGAGACTTATTTTGTCTAATTCGTGCCAGAAAATATTGTTTCAATTATTCAGTTACTTCTTTCTTTTTCCTTTTTCATGTTGTATTTTGATAATTATTAAAAGAAATAATTATGAGGGCGATGGTATCCTTGGAATTGGGATCACTGTCTCAAAATTGTTAAAATCTGTATTATCGATATTATGTATACAATTTAACGTTAAAGGCTTATATCGTATATAAATATAAATATATATATATATACATGTTGATCGGTTTAGCTGAGTTATTTTCAACAGTAAAAATACCAACGTATTTTGTAGAATCTTTTCGCGTAACGATAATATTAATTTTTTTTCTGTAATTTGCTTCCGATTCCGCGGCAAGTGAACTGTTATTCTTCTTTGTTTTCTATATCCTGGTTGAAGTTTCTTAAAAAAAAATGTACTATTGCATTTTAATTAATTTTGCTGCCTTCGGGACAGACAATGAAAAGGCTGGTAGTGTTTTGATAACAATATTTACAATCATAAAATTCAACATTTATATTTAACTATATAATGTCCCACGAACTATTTCGAGCGTTTCGTTTATTCTGCGTAACTCTAAATTATACTGAACAGTCGTGGTGATTATTTATAAGAAAAAGATACCATAAGTGTGACAAAAATCGTAAGAAAAAAAAAATAAAAAAAATTGTCTTTTTTAACTTGTATCCGGGGCGAAAAACATCTCAAAGCTATAACATGTTAATATTTACTGCCCTTGATACATAACCGTAATAGAAATATTTTTCTAGGAGTATACATAGGATACCGTTACAACTGCCGCTCATATTCAACCGTGTGTAAGCTTAATGATACCACTATCGCGAAAATATTTGCCAGATTTAATTGAACCGGTTTACAATGATCAATACAATATAGTTCAATATGTCACAATGAAACTTAACACGCAGATTTTTTATATTTCTAATGAGAAATACAATTAATAATTTTGTTACATCGGTCTCTTACGAGCATTTTCACGTTGCGTACGTGTATATAAAAATATAGCTGGTCGCAGCATCCGAATCCATTCGTTTCTCACGACTTCATTTTTCATTATCAACTAAATTAAGCTCATTTTGTATATACCTCAATGTAACCTGCTGCGTTCTCATTAAATTTGTATCATTTTAATAACGCCTATTTACTTATTACCTGGAAGTAATTGTAAGGATCACGTTTCAAAACTCTTGCCATGCTCCGGGGGTTCTATGAGTCCAATACCTCACACACACGGGGTCTCTGGCGCCTCCTCCGGGGGTTCTGTGGCCCCACGTACTCACCACACTGGGCTTCTGGCGTCTCCACCAGGGGGCTCCATGACCCCGCGCTCTCACCACACGGAGTCTATGGCGCCACCTGTCGGGATTCTATGACCCCGCACGAGGTCTGGCGCCACTTGAGGGGGCTCCATGGCCCCACGCTCTCATCACACGGGGACTATGGCGCCACCTGTCGGGGTTCTATGACCCCATGCTCTCACCACACAGGGCCTCTGGCGCCACCTGTGGGGGTTCTATGAACACGTACTCGCCACGCGAGGGCTCCATGACCCCACACCACACGAGGTCACGGCGCCACCTGTGGGGGGTTCTATGACTCCAATTCTTCACACACACAGGGTCTCTGGCGCCTCCACCGGGGTTCTGTGACCCCACGTTCTCACCACACGGGGTCCCTACGTATACGTTGCTAATTCATGTAATTTTTACAATACTGATAGTAATTTATGAACCGAGATTATGGCTTCACAAGTTTCGAGGTTGTTGATAGAAAAATAAATTAAAATATCGTTTTTATTAAGAAAATTAATTACGTGCTTATTATTGTACATATTGATACAGATTTCTTTAAGAAGAAATAAAGTAATAGGAATTAGGAGGAAGGTGGTAATGAGATTAATGAACAACGCATGTGTACCGTTTTATTGTCTTTTATTTAAACAATTCTAAGGAAATATACAGTTTACAATATAAGATCTCAAAGAGACATACAATTAAAATTATCGTATCAGATAATAAGATTGTCAGCATTAATGGAATTTGGATTATTCCATATAAATGGGACTTTGAAACTTTTTTAAGTGTAACAGTGATATTTCGTTGGCCTCCGTATTAGCGCACTGCACCGAACGCGGATAGCATGATGTTGTAGTCGCAAGGGAGCAATTGAATCGAATAGACGTATTGTACCGTAGCGCATCGTATTGTATTTCAAACTTTTATATCATTCTAATTTATATGTATATATGTATATTCCAACAAACATACGTCAGGTAATATAAGCTTCATTTCATCGAATTGTCTTAAATATAACTGCATAAGTATTGTACAATCCTATACTAATTATAGTTGTCTGCACGAGCTCGGTCGAATGTTGCTCGTGCAACTGTCGAATTGGGACTGACGCTTGTGCGTGTTCCCGTGAAGAAATTAGATAATAACCCCAGCACCCATGGCAGTTTCTGCAGATACTACTACAGCCCAAGTTTAAAAGACGTAGGCAGTAGTTAGTTTCTGTAGAAACCTGTTGAAGCAGACAACTATAATTAGTATAAGATTGTACACTGTTTATGCAGTTATATTTAAGACAATTCGATGAAATGAAGCTTATATTAACTGACGCATGTTTATAGGAATATACATATGTATACATATAAATTATAATGAAATACAACACGATGCGCCACGGTACAATACGTTTATTCGATTCAATTGCTCCCTTGCGACTACAAAATCATGCTATCTGCGTTCGGCGCAGTGCGCTAATACGGAGGCCAACGATATATCACTGTAACATTTAAAAAAGTTTTAAAGTTCCATTTATATCATTGTCCTGTGGAAATATTCATACTTCCAGTAGCATTAATATTCCAATCAATGAATTTACAGAATAAGGAAAAGGAATCTAAAGTAATTTTCAAGTAGTTCCATACATCTTTATCTCGAATAATTTTCTAAAACATTCAAAGTACTAGACATTTTTAGAACACTTTGAATCTCATATCGATTTCTAAAATAATCCTAGTTCGATGTAATATAGAACGTGGTTTTATGAGATAGATTCAAAGTTCGCAGCCATTAGCTCGATATTGCCATCAGTTTACAGTACTTTACCGATTACAATACCGATTGCCCAGGCCTCACCACGAGGAGGTTGCTGCGAGTGGAGGCCCAAGGCAAGTAGATGGAATCACAAGTTCTACATCTACCCACCTTTCACAATAAACCTTATA